AGGCGGGCCGGGGCTGGGCTGGGGCCCGGCCCGCCTCGAGCTCTCGCGTCCCTTGCCCGGAGGCTCTCGAGGTGCTCTTCCCGTACCACGTGATCGCCCATTGGCCCCCCTCCACTGGTGGTCCCTCCCCCTTCCCCTCTCTCCAGTATCATGGAGGTCACGCGTCCGAAGGTCAACCAGAGTTGTCATGACCGAACGTGACCCTGGCTGGCCGAGTCTTGATAATATATGCATTATGAGACCTCCGTTTTGCCAGTAACTAGATATAGGAATAGGTTTTACCCTTTTAACTGGCACAAAAACTGACACCTTTATTCAAGGCGTCATGTTTGCAATAACCACAACACAAGCAGTCAAAATGCAAACAAAAAAAAGAAAACTCTGATAATAATATTATTATTGATATTGGCTCTGTCCTTGAATTTGATTGGTCCACACCCGAGACGGATTTTCTTAGAGCCCTTTAGTCTCTCCACTGGTGTTGGACCAGAAGACGCCAAAAGGCGTACAACTTTAAAAACAGCGCACCATCAGAGTATTGAGGTGCTTGGGGTAAGCCATTTACATTATGAGACCTTGCAAACATGATGCCTTGAATAAAGGTGTCAGTTTTTGTGCCAGTTAAAAGGGTAAAACCTATTCCTAATATATGCATTGTCTTTGAAACGAATTGGTCTACACCAGAGACAGCCTTCTTTAGGGGCCCAATCTCACCAGTGTCAGATCTCAGAGAAGGCCAAAAGGCGAACAGCACAAAGAGAACGTGCGATGAAGGGCACTTATGGCTCGTGTCCGGGCTGTGCATAATGACAATATAGTACCTGGCGTGGCCTCACAGGCCCCGGGCACCACACAGTGACATTCCTAGTCGCGGCAATTGTTTTGCTCAAAAGGCAAATTCTGTCCAAACCCAGCCATAGATTTATTGATAGAGGCAGTCAAATATGTGTGTTTGAGCAATTTCTGGTTTAAATTGAGATCCCTTTTTTTTTAAACGCACTTATCCTCCGTCATTCCCAAGTCAAGGGTCTATATACTGACCTAGTAGGATTAATTGATAACCAGAGCCAATCAATTTTAAGCCTCATATTAATTCATAGTGACCCAGCATAAGTAAAGTTGGATTACATTTATGCCGGAAGCATTTTGGCTATCGACCAGTGTTGTGGGTGGTGATGATGATGGGTGGTGATAATGATGGGTGGTGATGTTGGTGGGTGGTGTTTACGATGGGTGGTTATAATGGGTGTTGATACTGATGATGGGTGATGATGATGGGGGGTGGTGATGTTGGTGGGTAGTGATGGTGATAATGATGGTTGGTGATGATGGGTAATGATTATGAAGAGTGGTCATGATGGTGATGGATGGTGATAATGATGGTTTGTGATGAGGGGTGTTGATGCTGATTGGTGGTGATGACAATAGGTGGTGGTGACTTCTGAAGGGTCTGTCTCACTGTCACACTCACCACTCTCTACCACACTCACCTGTGTGTCTCACTGTCACACTCACCTCTCTAGCCACACTCACTCACCTGTGTATCACTGTCACTCACCTCTCTACCCACACTCACCTGTGTCTGTCTCACACTCACCACACACACCACACTCACCACACACACCACACTCACCACACCCACCACACTCACCACACTCACCACACTCACCACACCCACCACACACACCACCCTGGTCAGACAGCGCCGTACGAGTGGACACAACAATGCTGGGAGTGGGCAGAGTGGATGTTTTATTGATGATGATCGTGCCAAGCGACACACACAGAGTGGGAGATTTATTGAGGATTGTGCCAAGCCACACACAGAGTGGAAGTTTTATTGATGAGGATCGTGCCAAGCCACACACACACAGAGTGGAAGTTTTATTGATGAGGATCGTGCCAAGCGACACACACACAGAGTGGGAGATTTATTGATGAGGATTGTGCCAAGCGACACACACACACAGAAGTGGGAGATTTATTGATGAGGATTGTGCCAAGCGACACACACACAGAGTGGAAGTTTTATTGATGAGGATTGTGCCAAGCCACACACACACAGTGGGATATTTATTGATCAGGATCGTGCCAAGCGTCACACACACACAGAGTGGGAGATTTATTGATGAGGATTGTGCCAAGCGACACACACACACAGAGTGGAAGTTTTATTGATGAGGATCGTGCCAAGCGACACACACAAGAGGGAGTTTTATTGATGAGGATTGTGCCAAGCGACACACAGAAGTGGGAGTTTTATTGATGGGGATCGTGTCTCTGTGTGTGTGTCTCTGTGTGTGTGTCTGTGTGAATGTCTGTGTGTGTGTCTCTGTGTGTGTCTCTGTGTCTGTCTCTGAGTGTCTCTGTGTGTGTGTCTGTGTGTGTGTCTCTGTGTGTGTGTCTCTCTGTGTGTGTCTCTGTGTGTGTCTGTCTCTGTGTGTGTCTGTGTGTGTGTGTGTCTGTGTGTGTGAGTCTCTCTCTCTCTGTGTGTCTCTCTCTCTCTGTGTGTCTCTCTGTGTGTCTCTCTGTGTCTCTCTGTGTCTCTCTCTGTGTCTCTCTGTCTCTGTGTCTCTCTCTCTGTCTTTCTGTGTCTCTCCGTGTCTCTCTCTCTGTCTCTCTGTGTCTCTCTCTGGATGCGCGAGTTCTCCTGTTCAGGGCTCATCTCTCTGTGTGTGTGTCTCTGTGTGTGTGAGTGTGTCTGTGTGTGTGTCTGTGTGTGTGTCTGTGTCTGTCTGTGTGTGTGTCTGTGTGTCTCTCTCTCTCTCTCTCTGTGTGTCTCTGTGTCTCTCTCTGTGTGTGTCTCCCTCTGTGTGTCTCTCTCTGTGTGTGTCTCTCTCTCTGTGTGTGTCTCTGTGTCTCTGTGTCTCGCTGTGTCTCTCTGTGTCTCTGTCTCTCTCTCTGTGTCTCTGTGTGTCTCTCTCCCTGTGTCTCTCTCTGTGTCTCTCTGTGTCTCTCTCTCTGTCTCTCTGTGTCTCTCTGTGTCTGTGGCTCACTCCTCAGAGCCGTTTCTTGATCAGCTTCTCGAGCCACCGGATGCGCGAGTTCTCCTGTTCAGGGCTCGTCTCTCTGTGTGTGTGTCTCTGTGTGTGTCTCTGTGTGTGTGTCTGTGTCTGTCTGTGTGTGTGTGTGTCTCTGTGTATCTCTCTGTGTGTATCTCTCTGTGTGTGTCTCTCTGTGTGTCTCTCTCTCTCTCTGTGTCTCTCTCTCACTCCTCAGAGCCGTTTCTTGATCAGCTTCTCGAGCCGCCGGATGCGCGAGTTCTCCTGTTCAGGGCTCGTCTCTCTGTGTGTGTCTCTGTGTGTGTCTCTGTGTGTGTGTCTGTGTCTGTCTGTGTGTGTGTGTGTCTCTGTGTATCTCTCTGTGTGTATCTCTCTGTGTGTGTCTCTCTGTGTGTCTCTCTCTGTGTCTCTCTCTCACTCCTCAGAGCCGTTTCTTGATCAGCTTCTCGAGCCGCCGGATGCGCGAGTTCTCCTGTTCAGGGCTCGTCTCTCTGTGTGTGTCTCTGTGTGTCTGTCTCTGTGTGTGTGTCTGTGTGTGTGTATCTCTCTGTGTGTGTCTCTCTCTGTGTGTCTCTCTCTCTCTGTGTCTCTGTCTCTCTCTGTCTCTGTGTCCCCCACTACGGCTCACTCCTCAGAGCCGTTTCTTGATCAGCTTCTCCAGCCGCCGGATGCGCGAGTTCTCCTGTTCAGGGCTCGTCTCTCTGTGTGTGTGTCTGTGTGTGTGTCTGTGTGTGTGTGTGTCTGTGTGTGTGTGTGTGTCTGTGTGTGTGTGTGTCTGTGTGTGTGTCTGTGTGTGTGTCTGTGTGTGTGTGTGTCTCTGTGTCTGTGTGTGTCTCTGTGTCTGTGTGTGTGTCTGTGTGTGTGTGTCTCTGTGTCTCTCTCTCTGTGTCTGTGTGTGTCTCTCTCTGTGTCCCCCACTCCTCAGAGCCGTTTCTTGATCAGCTTCTCCAGCCGCCGGATGCGCGAGTTCTCCTGTTCAGGGCTCGTCTCTCTGTGTGTGTGTCTCTGTGTGTGTCTGTGTCTCTCTCTCTCTCTCTGTGTCTCTCTGTGTGTGTGTGTCACTGTGTGTCTGTGTGTGTCTCTGTGTGTCTCTCTCTCTGTGTCTCTCTCTGTGTGTCTCTCTCTCTCTCTCTGTGTGTCTCTCTCTGTGTGTCTCTGTCTCTCTCTCTCTGTGTCCCCCACTCCTCAGAGCCGTTTCTTGATCAGCTTCTCGAGCCGCCGGATGCGCGAGTTCTCCTGTTCAGGGCTCATCTCTCTGTCTCTGTGTCTCTGTGTGTGTGTCTGTGTGTGTCTCTCTCTCTGTGTGTCTCTCTCTCTCTCTGTGTCTCTCTCTCTCTCTGTGTGTCTCTCTCTGTGTGTCTCTCTCTGTGTGTCTCTCTGTGTCTCTGTCTCTGTGTCCCCCACTACGGCTCACTCCTCAGAGCCGTTTCTTGATCAGCTTCTCGAGCCGCCGGATGCGTGAGTTCTCCTGTTCAGGGCTCGTCTCTCTGTGTGTGTGTCTCTGTGTGTGTGAGTGTGTCTGTGTGTGTGTCTGTGTGTGTGTCTGTCTGTGTGTGTGTGTCTCTGTGTGTGTCTGTGTGTGTGTCTGTCTGTGTGTGTGTGTCTCTGTGTGTGTCTGTGTGTGTGTATCTGTGTGTCTGTGTGTGTGTCTGTGTGTGTGTCTCTCTGTGTCTCTCTCTCTGTGTCTGTGTGTGTCTCTCTCTGTGTCTCTCTCTCACTCCTCAGAGCCGTTTCTTGATCAGCTTCTCGAGCCGCCGGATGCGCGAGTTCTCCTGTTCAGGGCTCATCTCTGTGTGTGTGTGTCTCTGTGTGTGTGAGTGTGTCTGTGTGTGTGTCTGTGTCTGTCTGTGTGTGTGTCTGTGTGTGTGTCTGTGTCTGTCTGTGTGTGTGTCTGTGTGTCTCTCTCTCTCTGTGTGTCTCTGTGTCTCTCTCTCTGTGTGTCTCCCTCTGTGTGTCTCTCTCTGTGTGTGTCTCTCTCTCTCTGTGTGTCTCTCTGTGTCTCTCTCTCTGTGTCTCTCTCTGTGTCCCCCACTACAGCTCACTCCTCAGAGCCGCTTCTTGATCAGCTTCTCGAGCCGCCGGATGCGTGAGTTCTCCTGTTCAGGGCTCGTCTCTCTGTGTGTGTGTCTCTGTGTGTGTGAGTGTGTCTGTGTGTGTCTCTCTCTCTCTGTGTCTCTGTCTCTCTCTCTCTCTGTGTCTCTGTCTCTCTCTCTCTCTGTGTCTCTCTCTCACTCCTCAGAGCCGTTTCTTGATCAGCTTCTCGAGCCGCCGGATGCGCGAGTTCTCCTGTTCAGGACTCGTCCCCGCCGACAGCCCCAGGGGGGCCCCCGAGTGAGGGGGGGGGGGCCCCCCCCCACCAGCACCCCCCCCCCCGCGGGGGATGAGAGGCACCACACCACCACCGCCACCACCACCGCCACCACCGGCACCACCGGCACCACCGGGCTGGTGGTGGTGCCGGTGGCGGAGCAGTTCCAGCATGGAGCTCTGCTCACTCCGTTTCAGGCCCTGCAGACAGAGGGTGGCTCACTCAGAGGGTGACTCACTCAGAGGGTGACTCACTCAGAGGGTGACTCACTCAGAGGGTGACTCACTCAGAGGGTGACTCACTCAGAGGGTGACTCAGAGGGTGACTCACTCAGAGGGTGACTCAGAGGGTGACTCACTCAGAGGGTGACTCACTCAGAGGGTGACTCAGAGGGTGACTCACTCAGAGGGTGACTCACTCAGAGGGTGACTCAGAGGGTGACTCACTCAGAGGGTGACTCAGAGGGTGACTCACTCAGAGGGTGACTCAGAGGGTGACTCACTCAGAGGGTGACTCAGAGGGTCAGAGGGTGACTCACTCAGAGGGTGACTCACTCAGAGGGTGACTCACTCAGAGGGTGACTCAGGGAGAGGGTGACTCAGAGGGTGACTCAGAGGGTGACTCACTCAGAGGGTGACTCAGAGGGTGACTCACTCAGAGGGTGACTCACTCAGAGGGTGACTCAGAGGGTGACTCAGAGGGTGACTCACTCAGAGGGTGACTCACTCAGAGGGTGACTCACTCAGAGGGTGACTCACTCAGAGGGTGACTGACTCAGAGGGTGACTCACTCAGAGGGTGACTCAGAGGGTGACTCAGAGGGTGACTCACTCAGAGGGTGACTCACTCAGAGGGTGACTCACTCAGAGGGTGACTCAGAGGGTGACTCACTCAGAGGGTGACTCACTCAGAGGGTGACTCAGGGAGAGGGTGACTCAGAGGGTGACTCAGAGGGTGACTCACTCAGAGGGTGACTCAGAGGGTGACTCACTCAGAGGGTGACTCACTCAGAGGGTGACTCAGAGGGTGACTCAGAGGGTGACTCACTCAGAGGGTGACTCACTTAGAGGGTGACTCACTCAGAGGGTGACTCACTCAGAGGGTGACTCACTCAGAGGGTGACTCACTCAGAGGGTGACTCACTCAGAGGGTGACTCAGAGGGTGACTCAGAGGGTGACTCACTCAGAGGGTGACTCACTCAGAGGGTGACTCACTCAGAGGGTGACTCAGAGGGTGACTCACTCAGAGGGTGACTCACTCAGAGGGTGACTCAGAGGGTGACTCAGAGGGTGACTCACTCAGAGGGTGACTCACTCAGAGGGTGACTCACTCAGAGGGTGACTCACTCAGAGGGTGACTGACTCAGAGGGTGACTCAGGGAGAGGGTGACTCAGAGGGTGACTCAGAGGGTGACTCACTCAGAGGGTGACTCAGAGGGTGACTCACTCAGAGGGTGACTCACTCAGAGGGTGACTCAGAGGGTGACTCAGAGGGTGACTCACTCAGAGGGTGACTCACTCAGAGGGTGACTCACTCAGAGGGTGACTGACTCAGAGGGTGACTCACTCAGAGGGTGACTCAGAGGGTGACTCAGAGGGTGACTCACTCAGAGGGTGACTCACTCAGAGGGTGACTCACTCAGAGGGTGACTCACTCAGAGGGTGACTCACTCAGAGGGTGACTCACTCAGAGGGTGACTCACTCAGAGGGTGACTCAGAGGGTGACTCACTCAGAGGGTGACTCACTCAGAGGGTGACTCACTCAGAGGGTGACTCACTCAGAGGGTGACTCAGAGGGTGACTCACTCAGAGGGTGACTCACTCAGAGGGTGACTCACTCAGAGGGTGACTCAGACAGAGGGTGACTCACTCAGAGGGTGACTCAGACAGAGGGTGACTCACTCAGAGGGTGACTCACTCGGAGGGTGACTCACTCAGAGGGTGACTCACTCAGAGGGTGACTCAGACAGAGGGTGACTCACTCAGAGGGTGACTCACTCAGGAGGGTGACTCAGAGGGTGACTCACTCAGAGGGTGACTCACTCAGAGGGTGACTCAGAGGGCTCACTCAGAGGGTGACTCACTCAGAGGGTGACTCACTCAGAGGGTGACTCCAGAGGGTGACTCACTCAGAGGGTGACTCACTCAGAGGGTGACTCACGAGGGTGACTCAGAGGGTGACTCACTCAGAGGGTGACTCACTCAGAGGGTGACTCACTACAGAGGGTGACTCACTCAGAGGGTGACTGCACTCAGAGGGTGGACTCACTCAGAGGGTGACTCAAGAGGGTGACTCAGAGGGTGACTCACTCAGAGGGTGACTCACTCAGAGGGTGACTCACTCAGAGGGTGACTCAGAGGGGGACTCACTCAGAGGGTGACTCACTCAGAGGGTGACTCATGCAGAGGGTGACTAGAGGGTGACTCCTCAGAGGGTGACTCACTCAGAGGGTGACTCAGAGGGTGACTCACTCAGAGGGTGACTCCTCAGAGGGTGACTCAGAGGGTGACTCAGAGGGTGACTCACTCAGAGGGTGGCCTCCAGAGGGTGATCTCAGAGGGTGACTCACTCAGAGGGTGACTCAGACAGAGGGTGACTCACTCAGAGGGTGACTCACTCAGAGGGTGACTCACTCAGAGGGTGACTCACTCAGAGGGTGACTCAGAGGGTGACTCACTCAGAGGGTGACTCACTCGGAGGGTGACTCAGAGGGTGACTCACTCAGAGGGTGACTCACTCAGAGGGTGACTCACTCAGAGGGTGACTCAGAGGGTGACTCAGAGGGTGACTCACTCAGAGGGTGACTCACTCAGAGGGTGACTCACTCAGAGGGTGACTCACTCAGAGGTGACTCACTCAGAGGGTGACTCAGGCAGAGGGTGACTCACTCAGAGGGTGACTCACTCAGAGGGTGACTCAGACAGAGGGTGACTCACTCAGAGGGTGACTCACTCAGAGGGTGACTCACTGAGGGTGACTCACTCGGAGGGTGACTCACTCAGAGGGTGACTCACTCAGAGGGTGACTCAGAGGGTGACTCACTCAGAGGGTGACTCACTCAGAGGGTGACTCACTCAGAGGGTGACTCACTCAGAGGGTGACCACTCAGAGGGTGACTCACTCAGAGGGTGACTACTCAGAGGGTGACTCAGAGAGGGTGACTCAGAGGGTGACTCACTCAGAGAGGGTGACTCACTCAGAGGGTGACTCAGGGGTGACTCACTCAGAGGGTGACTCCTCAGAGGGTGACTCACTCAGAGGGTGACTCACAGAGGGTGACTCACTCAGAGGGTTGACTCATCGAGGGTGACTCACTCAGAGGGTGACTCACTCAGAGGGTGACTACTCAGAGGGTGACTCACTCAGAGGGGTGACTCAGATCAGCAGGGTGACTCACTCAGAGGGTGACTCAGAGGGTGACTCACTCAGAGGGTGACTCACTCAGAGGTGGAGCTCCAGAGGGTGACTCAGAGGGTGACTCATCAGAGGGTGGACTCACTCAGAGGGTGACTCACTCAGAGGGTGACTCTGACTCAGAGGGTGACTCACTCAGAGGGGTGACTCAGGAGGGTGACTCAGAGGGGTGACTCACTCAGAGGGTGACTCACTCAGGGTGACTCACTCAGAGGGTGACTCACTCAGAGGGTGACGCCTTCAGAGGGTGACTCACTCAGAGGGTGACTCACTCAGAGGGTGACTCAGGGAGAGGGTGACTCAGAGGGTGACTCAGAGGGGTGACTCACTCAGAGGGTGACTATCAGAGGGTGACTCACTCAGAGGGTGACTCACTCAGAGGGTGACTCATCAGAGGGTGACTCATAGAGGGTGACTCACTCAGAGGGTGACTCACTCAGAGGGTGACTCACTCAGAGGGTGACTCACTCAGAGGGTGACTCACTCAGAGGGTGACCTCACTCAGAGGGTGACGCACTCAGAGGGTGACTCACTCAGAGGGTGACTCAGAGGGTGATCCTCAGAGGGTGACTCACTCAGAGGGTGACTCACTCAGAGGGTGACTCACTCAGAGGGTGACTCAGAGGGTGACTCACTCAGAGGGTGACTCACTCAGAGGGTGACTCATCAGAGGGTGACTCAGAGGGTGACTCACTCAGAGGGTTGACTCAATCAGAGGGTGACTCACTCAGAGGGTGACTCACTCAGAGGGTGACTGACTCAGAGGGTGGACTCACTCAGAGGGTGACTCCTCAGAGGGTGACTCAGAGGGTGACTCACTCAGAGGGTGACTCACTCAGAGGGTGACTCACTCAGAGGGTGACTCAGAGGGTGACTCACTCAGAGGGTGACTCACTCAGAGGGTGACTCAAGGGAGAGGGTGACTCAGAGGGTGACTCAGAGGGTGACTCACTCAGAGGGTGACTCCTCAGAGGGTGACTCACTCAGAGGGTGACTCACTCAGAGGGTGACTCAGAGGGTGACTCAGAGGGTGACTCACTCAGAGGGTGACTCACTCAGAGGGTGACTCACTCAGAGGGTGACTCACTCAGAGGGTGACTCACTCAGAGGGTGACTCACTCAGAGGGTGACTGACTCAGAGGGTGACTCACTCAGAGGGTGACTCAGAGGGTGACTCAGAGGGTGACTCACTCAGAGGGTGACTCCACTCAGAGGGTGACTCACTCAGAGGGTGACTCCAGAGGGTGACTCACTCAGAGGGTGACTCACTCAGAGGGTGACTCAGGGCAGAGGGTGACTCAGAGGGTGACTCAGAGGGTGACTCACTCAGAGGGTGACTCAGAGGGTGACTCACTCAGAGGGTGACTCACTCAGAGGGTGACTCAGAGGGTGACTCAGAGGGTGACTCACTCAGAGGGTGACTCACTCAGAGGGTGACTCACTCAGAGGGTGACTCACTCAGAGGGTGACTGACTCAGAGGGTGACTCAGGGAGAGGTGACTCAGAGGGTGACTCAGAGGGTGACTCACTCAGAGGGTGACTCAGAGGGTGACTCACTCAGAGGGTGACTCACTCAGAGGGTGACTCAGAGGGTGACTCAGAGGGTGACTCACTCAGAGGGTGACTCACTCAGAGGGTGACTCACTCAGAGGGTGACTGACTCAGAGGGTGACTCACTCAGAGGGTGACTCAGAGGGTGACTCAGAGGGTGACTCACTCAGAGGGTGACTCACTCAGAGGGTGACTCACTCAGAGGGTGACTCACTCAGAGGGTGACTCACTCAGAGGGTGACTCACTCAGAGGGTGACTCACTCAGAGGGTGACTCACTCAGAGGGTGACTCACTCAGAGGGTGACTCAGAGGGTGACTCACTCAGAGGGTGACTCACTCAGAGGGTGACTCACTCAGAGGGTGACTCACTCAGAGGGTGACTCAGAGGGTGACTCACTCAGAGGGTGACTCACTCAGAGGGTGACTCACTCAGAGGGTGACTCAGACAGAGGGTGACTCACTCAGAGGGTGACTCAGACAGAGGGTGACTCACTCAGAGGGTGACTCACTCGGAGGGTGACTCACTCAGAGGGTGACTCACTCAGAGGGTGACTCAGACAGAGGGTGACTCAGCTCAGAGGGTGACTCACTCAGGAGGGTGACTCACTCGGAGGGTGACTCACTCGGAGGGTGACTCAGGCAGAGGGTGACTCAGACAGAGGGTGACTCACTCAGAGGGTGACTCACTCAGAGGGTGACTCACTCAGAGGGTGACTCACTCAGAGGGTGACTCAGAGGGTGACTCACTCAGAGGGTGACTCACTCAGAGGGTGACTCACTCAGAGGGTGACTCACTCGGAGGGTGACTCACTCAGAGGGTGACTCACTCAGAGGGTGACTCACTCAGAGGGTGACTCACTCAGAGGGTGACTCACTCAGAGGGTGACTCACTCAGAGGGTGACTCACTCGGAGGGTGACTCACTCGAGGGTGACTCACTCAGAGGGTGCTCACTCAGAGGGTGACTCACTCGGAGGGTGACTCACTCGGAGGGTGACTCCCTCGGAGGGTGACTCAGGCAGAGGGTGACTCAATCAGAGGGTGACTCACTCAGAGGGTGGCTCACTCAGAGGGTGACTCATTCAGAGGGTGACTCAGACTCGAGGGTGACTCACTCAGAGGGTGACTCACTCAGAGGGTGACTCACTCAGAGGGTGACTCACTCAGAGGGTGACTCAGAGGGTGACTCACTCAGAGGGTGACTCACTCGGAGGGTGACTCAGAGGGTGACTCACTCAGAGGGTGACTCACTCAGAGGGTGACTCACTCAGAGGGTGACTCAGAGGGTGACTCAGAGGGTGACTCACTCAGAGGGTGACTCACTCAGAGGGTGACTCACTCAGAGGGTGACTCAGAGGGTGACTCACTCAGAGGGTGACTCAGGCAGAGGGTGACTCACTCAGAGGGTGACTCACTCAGAGGGTGACTCAGACAGAGGGTGACTCACTCAGAGGGTGACTCACTCGGAGGGTGGCTCACTTGGAGGGTGACTCACTCGGAGGGTGACTCACTCAGAGGGTGACTCACTCAGAGGGTGACTCAGAGGGTGACTCACTCAGAGGGTGACTCACTCAGAGGGTGACTCACTCAGAGGGTGACTCACTCAGAGGGTGAGTCACTCGGAGGGTGACTCACTCAGAGGGTGACTCACTCAGAGGGTGACTCAGAGGGTGACTCACTCAGAGGGTGACTCAGAGGGTGACTCACTCAGAGGGTGACTCACTCAGAGGGTGACTCACTCAGAGGGTGACTCACTCAGAGGGTGACTCACTCAGAGGGTGACTCACTCAGAGGGTGACTCACTCAGAGGGTGACTCACTCAGAGGGTGACTCACTCAGAGGGTGACTCACTCAGAGGGTGACTCACTCAGAGGGTGACTCACTCAGAGAGTGACTCACTCAGAGGGTGACTCAGACAGAGGGTGACTCACTCAGAGGGTGACTCACTCAGAGGGTGACTCACTCAGAGGGTGACTCACTCAGAGGGTGACTCAGAGGGTGACTCACTCAGAGGGTGACTCACTCAGAGGGTGACTCACTCAGAGGGTGACTCACTCAGAGGGTGACTCAGAGGGTGACTCACTCAGAGGGTGACTCACTCAGAGGGTGACTCACTCAGAGGGTGACTCAGACAGAGGGTGACTCACTCAGAGGGTGACTCAGACAGAGGGTGACTCACTCAGAGGGTGACTCACTCGGAGGGTGACTCACTCAGAGGGTGACTCACTCAGAGGGTGACTCAGACAGAGGGTGACTCAGACAGAGGGTGACTCACTCGGAGGGTGACTCACTCGGAGGGTGACTCACTCGGAGGGTGACTCAGGCAGAGGGTGACTCAGGCAGAGGGTGACTCACTCAGAGGGTGACTCACTCAGAGGGTGACTCACTCAGAGGGTGACTCACTCAGAGGGTGACTCAGAGGGTGACTCACTCAGAGGGTGACTCACTCAGAGGGTGACTCACTCAGAGGGTGACTCACTCAGAGGGTGACTCAGACAGAGGGTGACTCACTCAGAGGGTGACTCACTCAGAGGGTGACTCACTCAGAGGGTGACTCACTCAGAGGGTGACTCACTCAGAGGGTGACTCACTCAGAGGGTGACTCAGAGGGTGACTCACTCAGAGGGTGACTCAGGCAGAGGGTGACTCACTCAGAGGGTGACTCACTCGGAGGGTGACTCACTCAGAGGGTGACTCAGAGGGTCAGAGGGTGACTCACTCAGAGGGTGACTCACTCAGAGGGTGACTCACTCAGAGGGTGACTCACTCGGTGGGTGACTCACTCAGAGGGTGACTCACTCGGAGCGTGACTCAGAGGGTCACTCACTCAGAGGGTGACTCAGAGGGTCACTCACTCAGAGGGTGACTCACTCGGAGGGTGACTCAGAGGGTCACTCACTCAGAGGGTGACTCACTCGGAGGGTGACTCACTCGGAGGGTGACTCAGAGGGTCAGAGGGTGACTCACTCAGAGGGTGACTCACTCAGAGGGTGACTCACTCGGAGGGTGACTCAGAGGGTCACTCACTCAGAGGGTGACTCACTCGGAGGGTGACTCACTCGGAGGGTGACTCGGAGGGTGACTCACTCGGAGGGTGACTCACTCAGAGGGTGACTCACTCAGAGGGTGACTCAGAGGGTGACTCACTCAGAGGGTGACTCAGAGGGTGACTCACTCGGAGGGTGACTCGGAGGGTGACTCACTCAGAGGGTGACTCACTCAGAGGGTGACTCACTCAGAGAGTGACTCACTCGGAGGGTGACTCACTCAGAGGGTGACTCACTCGGTGGGTGACTCACTCAGAGGGTGACTCACTCGGAGGGTGACTCAGAGGGTCACTCACTCAGAGGGTGACTCACTCGGTGGGTGACTCACTCAGAGGGTGACTCACTCGGAGGGTGACTCAGAGGGTCACTCACTCAGAGGGTGACTCACTCGGAGGGTGACTCACTCGGAGGGTGACTCGGAGGGTGACTCACTCGGAGGGTGACTCACTCAGAGGGTGACTCACTCAGAGGGTGACTCAGAGGGTGACTCACTCAGAGGGTGACTCAGAGGGTGACTCACTCGGAGGGTGACTCGGAGGGTGACTCACTCAGAGGGTGACTCACTCAGAGGGTGACTCACTCAGAGAGTGACTCACTCGGAGGGTGACTCACTCAGAGGGTGACTCACTCGGTGGGTGACTCACTCAGAGGGTGACTCACTCGGAGGGTGACTCAGAGGGTCACTCACTCAGAGGGTGACTCACTCGGTGGGTGACTCACTCAGAGGGTGACTCACTCGGAGGGTGACTCAGAGGGTCACTCACTCAGAGGGTGACTCACTCGGAGGGTGACTCACTCGGAGGGTGACTCGGAGGGTGACTCACTCGGAGGGTGACTCACTCAGAGGGTGACTCACTCAGAGGGTGACTCAGAGGGTGACTCACTCAGAGGGTGACTCAGAGGGTGACTCACTCGGAGGGTGACTCGGAGGGTGACTCACTCAGAGGGTGACTCACTCAGAGGGTGACTCACTCAGAGAGTGACTCACTCGGAGGGTGACTCACTCAGAGGGTGACTCACTCAGAGGGTGACTCACTCAGAGGGTGACTCACTCAGAGGGTGACTCACTCAGAGGGTGACTCACTCAGAGGGTGACTCAGAGGGTGACTCACTCAGAGGGTGACTCACTCAGAGGGTGACTCACTCAGAGGGTCTGTGTGTCTGTGTGTGTCTGTGTGTGTGTGTCTGTGTGTGTGTGTGTCTGTGTGTGTGTGTGCATGTGTGTGTGTCTGTGTGTGTGTGTATATATATGTGTATATATGTGTCTGTGTGTGTGTGTCTGTGTGTGTGTGTGTGTCTGTGTCTGTCTGTGTGTGTCTGTGTGTGTCTGTGTGTGTCTGTGTGTGTCTGTGTCTGTGTGTGTCTGTGTGTGTGTGTGTGTATGTCTGTGTGTGTGTGTATATATGTGTATATATGTGTATGTGTGTGTCTGTGTGTGTGTTTCTGTGTGTCTGTGTGTGTGTGTGTATGTCTGTGTGTGTGTGTATATATGTGTCTGTGTGTGTCTGTGTGTGTCTGTGTGTGTGTTTCTGTGTGTCTGTGTGTGTCTGTGTGTGTGTATGTCTGTGTGTGTGTGTATATATGTGTATGTGTGTGTCTGTGTGTTTCTGTGTGTCTGTGTGTGTGTGTGTCTGTGTGTGGCGACCTTCATGTCCAACACCCTCTGGAACGTGTCCGGAGCGCCGCTGTCACTCAGCAGCTTCATAAAGTTGTCAACAAACACCTGTGGTGGTTCATGTGGAGACATCACCAGCTGGGGAGACACAGTGAGACACAGAGACACACACAGTGACACAGAGACACACACAGTGAGACACACACAGAGAGACACACAGTGTAGTTGTCAACAAACACCTGGGGTGGTTCATGTGGAGACATCACCAACTAGGGAGACACACAGAGAGACAGAGACACACACAGTGAGACACACACAGTGAGACACAGACACACAGTGTAGTTGTCAACAAACACCTGTGGTGGTTCATGTGGAGACATCACCAACTAGGGAGACACACAGAGAGACAGAGACACACACAGTGAGACACACACAGTGAGACACAGACACACAGTGTAGTTGTCAACAAACACCTGTGGTGGTTCATGTGGAGACATCACCAACTAGGGAGACACACAGAGAGAGACACACACAGTGAGACACACACAGTGAGACACACAGTGAGACACACAGAGACACACAGTGTAGTTGTCAACAAACACCTGTGGTGGTTCATGTGGAGACATCACCAGCTACAGACACACAGAGAGAGAGACACACACAGAGACACAGAGACACACACAGTGAGACACACAGAGACACACAGTGTAGTTGTCAACAAACACCTGTGGTGGTTCATGTGGAGACATCACCAGCTACAGACACACAGAGAGAGAGACACACACAGTGAGACACACACAGAGACACACACAGAGACACACACAGTGAGACACACACAGTGAGACACACACAGAGACACACACAGTGAGACAGACAGTGAGACACACACACAGACACACAGTGTAGTTGTCAACAAACACCTGTGGTGGTTCATGTGGAGACATCACCAGCTACAGACACACAGAGAGACACACACAGTGAGACACACACAGTGAGACACACACAGTGAGACACACAGTGTAGTTGTCTACAAACACCTGTGGTGGTTCATGTGGAGACATCACCAGCTACAGACACACACAGACACACACAGAGACACACACACAGTGAGACACACACAGTGAGACACACAGTGTAGTTGTCTACAAACACCTGTGGTGGTTCATGTGGAGACATCACCAGCTGGGGAGACACACAGTGAGACACAGAGACACACACAGTGAGACACACAGTGAGACACACACAGTGAGACACACAGTGAGACACACACAGTGTAGTTGTCAACAAACACCTGGGGTGGTTCATGTGGAGACATCACCAACTAGGGAGACACACACAGTGAGACACACACAGTGAGACACACACAGTGAGACACACACAGTGAGACACACACAGTGAGACACACAGTGTAGTTGTCAACAAACACCTGTGGTGGTTCATGTGGAGACATCACCAGCTACAGACACACACACAGAGACACACACACACACACAGAGACACACACAGTGAGACACACAGAGACACACACAGAGACACACAGTGTAGTTGTCTACAAACACCTGTGGTGGTTCATGTGGAGACATCACCAGCTACAGACACACACACAGAGACACACACAGAGACACACACAGAGAGACACACACAGTGTAGTTGTCTACAAACACCTGTGGTGGTTCATGTGGAGACATCACCAACTAGGGAGACACACAGAGAGACGCACACAGTGAGACACACACAGTGAGACACAGTGAGACACACAGTGTAGTTGTCAACAAACACCTGTGGTGGTTCATGTGGAGACATCACCAACTACAGACACACAGAGAGAGAGACACACACAGTGAGACACACACAGTGAGACACAGAGAGACACAGTGTAGTTGTCAACAAACACCTGTGGTGGTTCATGTGGAGACATCACCAGCTGGGGAGACACACAGAGAGAGAGACACACACAGTGAGACACACACAGTGAGACACAGACACACAGTGTAGTTGTCAACAAACACCTGTGGTGGTTCATGTGGAGACATCACCAGCTACAGACACACACACAGAGACACACACACACACACACAGAGACACACACAGTGAGACACACACAGTGAGACACAGAGAGACACACAGTGTAGTTGTCAACAAACACCTGTGGTGGTTCATGTGGAGACATCACCAACTAGGGAGACACACAGAGAGACAGAGACACACACAGTGAGACACACACAGTGAGACACAGAGAGACACACAGTGTAGTTGTCAACAAACACCTGTGGTGGTTCATGTGGAGACATCACCAACTAGGGAGACACAGAGAGAGACACACACAGTGAGACACACACAGTGAGACACAGAGAGACACAGTGTAGTTGTCTACAAACACCTGTGGTGGTTCATGTGGAGACATCACCAGCTGGGGAGACAGAGACACACAGTGAGACACACACAGTGAGACACAGAGAGACACACAGTGTAGTTGTCTACAAACACCTGTGGTGGTTCATGTGGAGACATCACCAGCTGGGGAGACACACAGTGAGACACACAGTGAGACACACACAGTGAGACACACAGTGTAGTTGTCAACAAACACCTGTGGTGGTTCATGTGGAGACATCACCAGCTGGGGAGACAGAGACACACAGTGAGACACACACAGTGAGACACAGAGAGACACACAGTGTAGTTGTCTACAAACACCTGTGGTGGTTCATGTGGAGACATCACCAGCTGGGGAGACGGAGACACACACAGACACACACAGAGACACACAGTGAGACACACAGTGAGACACACACAGTGAGACACACAGTGAGACACACACAGTGAGACACACAGAGAGACACAGTGTAGTTGTCAACAAACACCTGTGGTGGTTCATGTGGAGACATCACCAGCTAGGGAGACACACACAGAGACACACACAGAGACACACACAGACACACACAGTGAGACACACAGAGACACACAGTGTAGTTGTCAACAAACACCTGTGGTGGTTCATGTGGAGACATCACCAAATAGGGAGACACACAGAGACACACACAGAGACACACAGAGACACACACAGTGAGACACACAGAGACACACACAGAGACACACACAGTGAGACACACAGAGACACACACAGAGACACACACAGTGAGACACACAGAGACACACACAGAGACACACACAGTGAGACACACAGAGACACACACAGAGACACACACAGTGAGACAGAGTGTAGTTGTCTACAAACACCTGTGGTGGTTCATGTGGAGACATCACCAACTAGGGAGACACACAGAGACACACACAGAGACACACAGAGACACACACAGAGACACACAGAGACACACACAGTGAGACACACAGAGACACACACAGAGACACACACAGTGAGACACACAGAGACACACACAGAGACACACACAGTGAGACACACAGAGACACACACAGAGACACACACAGTGAGACACACAGAGACACACACAGAGACACACACAGTGAGACAGAGTGTAGTTGTCTACAAACACCTGTGGTGGTTCATGTGGAGACATCACCAACTAGGGAGACACACAGAGACACACACAGAGACACACAGAGACACACACAGAGACACACACAGACACACAGAGACACACACAGTGAGACACACAGTGAGACACACACAGAGACACACACAGAGACACAGAGACACACAGTGAGACACACAGTGTAGTTGTCAACAAACACCTGTGGTGGTTCATGTGGAGACATCACCAACTAGGGAGACACACAGAGACACACACAGAGACACACAGAGACACACACAGAGACACACACAGACACACAGAGACACACACAGTGAGACACACAGTGAGACACACACAGAGACACACACAGAGACACAGAGACACACAGTGAGACACACAGTGTAGTTGTCAACAAACACCTGTGGTGGTTCATGTGGAGACATCACCAGCTACAGACACACACAGAGACAGAGACACACACAGAGACACACAGAGAGACACAGAGACACACACAGTGAGACACACAGTGAGACACACACAGTGAGACACACACAGAGACACACACAGTGAGACACACAGTGAGACACAGTGTAGTTGTCTACAAACACCTGTGGTGGATCGTGGGGAGACATCACCAGCTAAAGACACACAGAGACACACACAGAGACACACAGAGACACACAGAGACAAAGAGACACACACAGAGACACAGAGACACACACAGAGACACACACTGAGACACACACAGAGACACACACACAGTGAGACACACACAGAGACACACAGAGACAGAGAGACACACAGTGAGACACAGAGACACAGAGACACACACAGTGAGACACAGAGACACACACAGTGAGACACAGAGACACAGAGACACACACAGTGAGACACAGAGAGACACACACAGTGAGACACACACAGTGAGACACACACAGAGACACACAGTGAGACACACAGAGAGACACACACAGCGACACACACAGAGACACACAGAGACACACACAGAGACACACACAGAGACACACACAGAGACACACACAGAGACACACACAGAGACACACACAGAGACACACACAGAGACACACACAGAGACACACACAGTGAGACACACACAGAGACAGAGAGACACACAGTGAGACACAGAGACACAGAGATACACACAGTGAGACGCACACAGAGACACACACAGTGACACACAGTGAGACACACAGTGAGACACACAGAGAGACACACACAGAGACACACACAGAGACACACACAAGAGACACACACAGAGACACACACAGAAACACACACAGAGACACACACAGAGACACACAGAGAGACACACAGAGAGACACACAGAGACACACAGAGACACACACAGAGACACAAAGAGACACAGAGAGACACACACAGTGAGACACACACAGTGACACACACAGAGACACACACAGAGACACACACAGAGACACAGAGACACACAGTGAGACACACACAGAGACACACACAGAGACACACAGTGAGACACACACAGAGACACACACAGAGACACACAGAGACACACACAGAGACACACAGTGAGACACACACAGAGACACAGTGAGACACACACAGTGAGACACACACAGTGACACACACAGAGACACACACAGAGACACAAAGAGACACAGAGAGACACACACAGTGAGACACACACAGTGACACACACAGTGACACACACAGAGACACAGAGACACACAGTGAGACATACACAGAGACACACACAGAGACACACAGTGAGACACACACAGAGACACACACAGAGACACACAGAGACACACACAGAGACACACACAGAGACACACACAGAGACAGAGACACACAGTGAGACACACAGTGAGACACACACAGAGACACAGTGAGACACACACAGAGACACACACAGAGACACACACAGAGAGACACACACAGAGACAGAGACACACACAGTGAGACACACACAGTGAGACACACACACAGAGACACACACAGAGACACTCGCACAGAGACACACGCACAGAGACACTCACACACAGAGACACACAGAGACACATACAAAGAGACACACACAGACACACACAGTGAGACACACACAGAGACACACACAGAGAGACACAGTGTAGTTGTCTACAAACACCTGCACTGGTTCGTGGGGAGACATCACCAGCTACAGACACACACAGACACACACACAGAGACACACAGAGACACACAGAGAGAGAGACACAGAGAGACACAGAGAGACAGAGAGAGACACAGAGACACAGAGAGACAGAGAGACACAGAGAGACAGAGAGAGACACAGAGACACAGAGAGACACACACAGTGAGACACACACAGTGACACACACAGAGACACACACAGAGACACACACAGAGACACAGAGACACACAGTGAGACACACACAGAGACACACACAGAGACACACAGTGAGACACACACAGAGACACACACAGAGACACACAGAGACACACACAGAGACACAGTGAGACACACACAGTGAGACACACACAGTGACACACACAGAGACACACACAGAGACACAGAGACACACAGTGAGACACACACAGAGACACACATAGAGACACACAGTGAGACACACACAGAGACACACACAGAGACACACACAGAGACACAAAGAGACACAGAGAGACACACACAGTGAGACACACACAGTGACACACACAGAGACACACACAGAGACACAGAGACACACAGTGAGACATACACAGAGACACACACAGAGACACACAGTGAGACACACACAGAGACACACACAGAGACACACAGAGACACACACAGAGACACACACAGAGACACACACAGAGACACAGTGAGACACACACAGAGACACACACAGAGACACACACAGAGAGACACACACAGAGACAGAGACACACACATTGAGACACACACAGTGAAACACACACACAGAGACACACACAGAGACACTCGCACAGAGACACACGCACAGAGACACTCACACACAGAGACACACAGAGACACATACAAAGAGACACACACAGACACACACAGTGAGACACACACAGACACACACAGTGAGACACACACAGAGACACACACAGAGAGACACAGTGTAGTTGTCTACAAACACCTGCACTGGTTCGTGGGGAGACATCACCAGCTACAGACACACACAGACACACACACAGAGACACACAGAGACACACAGAGAGAGAGACACAGAGAGACACAGAGAGACAGAGAGAGACACAGAGACACAGAGAGACAGAGAGACACAGAGACACAGAGAGACAGAGAGAGACACAGAGACACAGAGAGACATCACCACCTGGGAATGGGTGGCTGGGTGAGTGGGTGAGTGGCTGGGTGAGTGAGTGAGTGGGTGAGTGAGTGAGTGGGTGAGTGAGTGAGTGGGTGAGTGAGTGAGTGGGTGAGTGAGTGAGTGAGTAAGTGGCTGGGTGAGTGAGCGAGTGAGTGAGTGAGTGGCTGGGTGAGTGAGTGAGTGAGTAAGTGGCTGGGTGAGTGAGTGGCTGGGTGAGTGACTGAGTGGCTGAGTGGGTGGCTGAGTGGCTGAGTGGGTGGGTGTGAGTGAGTGAGTGTGTGTGAGTGAATGAGTGAGTGGCTGAGTGAGTAGTGAGTGAGTGAGTGAGTAGTGAGTGAGTAGTGAGTGGTGAGTGTGTGAATGAGTGAATGAGTGGCTGAGTGAGTGACTGAGTGAGTGAGTGGCTGAGTTGAGTGAGTAGTGAGTGAATGAGTGAGTGAATGAGTGAGTGACTGAGTGAGTGGTTGAGTGAGTGTGTGTGAGTGAGTGAGTGACTGACTGGCTGACTGAGTGAGTAGTGAGTGTGTGTGTGAATGAGTGAGTAGTGAGTGAGTGACTGAGTGAGTGGCTGAGTGAGTGAGTGGCTGAGTGAGTGACTGAGTGAGTGGCTGAGTAGTGAGTGTGTGAGTGAGTAGTGAGTGAGTGAGTGTGTGTGAATGAGTGAGTGTGTGAGTAGTGAGTGAGTGAGTAGTGAGTGTGTGAATGAGTGAGTAGTGACTGAGTGACTGAGTGAGTGGCTGAGTGAGTGAGTGGCTGAGTGAGTGTGTGAGTGAGTGAGTGGCTGAGTAGTGAGTGCGTGAGTGAGTGAGTAGTGAGTGAGTGTCTGTGTGAATGAGTGAGTGGCTGAGTGAATGAGTGAGTGACTGAGTGAGTGTGTGTGTGAGTGAGTGTGTGTGTGAATGAGTGAGTGTGTGTGTAGTGAGTGACTGAGTGAGTGAGTGTGTGAATGAGTGAGTGTGTGAATGAGTGAGTGTGTGTGTAGTGAGTGACTGAGTGAGTGAGTGTGTGAATGAGTGAGTGTGTGACTGAATGAGTGTGAGTGTGTGTGAATGAGTGTGTGTGAATGAGTGAGTGTGTGTGTGAGTGTGTGAATGAGTGTGTGTGTGTGAGTGTGTGTGTGTGAATGAGTGAGTGTGTGTGTGTGAATGAGTGAGTGTGTGAATGAGTGTGTGTGTGTGAATGAGTGTGTGTGTGTGAGTGACTGAATGAGTGAGTGTGTGAATGAGTGAGTGTGTGACTGAATGAGTGTGAGTGTGTGTGAATGAGTGTGTGTGAATGAGTGAGTGTGTGTGTGAGTGTGTGAATGAGTGTGTGTGTGAGTGTGTGAGTGACTGAATGAGAGTGAGTGTGTGTGTGAATGAGTGAGTGTGAGTGTGTGTGTGAATGAGTGAGTGTGTGAGTGACTGAATGAGTGTGTGTGTGAGTGTGTGAATGTGTGTGAGTGTGTGTGTGAGTGTGTGTGTGAGTGTGTGAGTGACTGAATGAGTGAGTGAGTGTGTGTGTGTGAATGAGTATGTGTGTATGAGTGTGTGTGTGAGTGTGTGTGTGTGAATGTGTGTGAGTGTGTGAGTGACTGAATGAGTGTGTGTGTGAGTGAGTGTGTGAGTGACTGAATGAGTGTGTGTGTGAATGAGTGAGTTTGTGAGTGACTGAATGAGTGTGAATGAGTGTGTGTGTGTGAGTGTTGCTCACCTTGAGTATCATCTCTGCCCTGGTCATGCCCTTGACCACCACCTTGGTGTAAGCTGCTGGAGCTTTCCTCACCACAGCGGCACCCACAGAGGGCAGCTCCAGCAACGCCGTCTTCAGAGAGTGAGTGTCTAGTAGGAGCTAGACACACAGTGAGACACACAGTGAGACACAGAGACACACAGTTAGACAGAGACACAGTGAGACAGAGACACAGAGAGTGTGTGTCTAGTAGGAGCTACACACAGTGAGACACACACAGAGAGACACAGTGAGACACACACAGACACACAGAGAGTGTGTGTCTAGTAGGAGCTACACACAGTGAGACACACACAGAGAGACACAGAGTTAGACACAGTGAGACACACAGTGAGACAGAGAGTGTGTGTCTAGTAGGAGCTACACACAGAGTGAGACACACAGTGAGACAGAGAGTGTGTGTCTAGTAGGAGCTAGACAGACAGTGAGACAGAGAGACACACAGTTAGACACAGAGAGACACACACAGAGAGTGAGTGTCTAGTAGGAGCTATACACACAGTGAGACACAGAGACACACAGTTAGACACAGAGAGACACACACAGAGAGTGTGTGTCTAGTAGGAGCTAGACACAGACAGTGAGACAGAGAGACACACAGTTAGACACAGAGAGACACACACAGAGAGTGTGTGTCTAGTAGGAGCTAGACACAGACAGTGAGACAGTGAGACAGTGAGACAGTGAGACACACAGTTAGACACACAGAGAGTGTGTGTCTAGTAGGAGCTAGACACAGACAGTGAGACAGAGAGACACACAGTTAGACACAGAGAGACACACACAGAGAGTGTGTGTCTAGTAGGAGCTAGACACAGACAGTGAGACAGTGAGACAGTGAGACAGTGAGACACACAGTTAGACACACAGAGAGTGTGTGTCTAGTAGGAGCTAGACACAGACAGTGAGACACAGAGACACACAGTTAGACACAGAGAGACACACACAGAGAGTGTGTGTCTAGTAGGAGCTACACAGAGACACACAGAGACACACAGTGAGACACACACAGACACACAGAGAGTGTGTGTCTAGTAGGAGCTAGAGAGACAGAGAGACAGTGAGACAGTGAGACACACAGTTAGACACACAGAGAGTGTGTGTCTAGTAGGAGCTAGACACACAGTGAGACACAGAGACACACAGTTAGACACAGAGAGACACACACAGAGAGTGTGTGTCTAGTAGGAGCTACACAGAGACACACAGAGACACACAGTGAGACACACACAGACACACAGAGAGTGTGTGTCTAGTAGGAGCTAGAGAGACAGAGAGACAGAGACACAGAGAGTGTGTGTCTAGTAGTAGCTACACTCAGAGAGACACACACAGAGAGTGTGTGTCTAGTAGGAGCTAGAGAGACAGAGAGACAGTGAGACAGTGAGACACACAGTTAGACACACAGAGAGTGTGTGTCTAGTAGGAGCTAGACAGAGACAGAGAGACACACAGAGACACACAGTGAGACAGTGAGACACACAGAGAGTGTGTGTCTAGTAGGAGCTACACACAGTGAGACACACACAGAGAGACACACACAGAGAGACACACACAGAGAGACACAGAGTTAGACACAGTAAGACACACAGTAAGACAGTGAGACACACAGAGACACAGTGACACACAGAGAGAGTGTGTGTCTAGCAGTAGCTACACAGAGAGAGACAGAGAGTGTGTGTCTAGTAGGAGCTACACACAGTGAGACACACACAGAGAGACACACACAGAGAGACACAGAGTTAGACACAGTAAGACACACAGTGAGACAGAGAGTGTGTGTCTAGTAGGAGCTACACAGAGACACACAGTGAGACACAGAGACACACAGTTAGACAGTGACACAGAGAGTGTGTGTCTAGTAGGAGCTAGACACAGACAGTGAGACACACAGTGAGACAGAGAGTGTGTGTCTAGTAGGAGCTAGACACAGACAGTGAGACACACAGTGAGACAGAGAGTGTGTGTCTAGTAGGAGCTAGACACAGACAGTGAGACACACAGTGAGACAGAGAGTGTGTGTCTAGTAGGAGCTAGACACAGACAGTGAGACACACAGTGAGACAGAGAGTGTGTGTCTAGTAGGAGCTAGACACAGACAGTGAGACACACAGTGAGACAGAGAGTTTGTGTCTAGTAGGAGCTAGACACAGACAGTGAGACACACAGTGAGACAGAGAGTTTGTGTCTAGTAGGAGCTAGACACAGACAGTGAGACACACAGTGAGACAGAGAGTGTGTGTCTAGTAGGAGCTACACAGAGCCAGACAGTGAGACAGAGAGACACACAGTTAGACAGTGAGACACACAGAGACACAGTGACACACAGAGAGAGTGTGTGTCTAGCAGTAGCTACACAGAGAGAGACAGAGAGTGTGTGTCTAGTAGGAGCTACACTCAGAGACACACAGTGAGACAGTGAGACAGACAGTGAGACAGTGAGACACACAGTTAGACACACAGAGAGTGTGTGTCTAGTAGTAGCTACACAGAGACACACAGTGAGACACAGTGAGACACACACAGTGAGACACACAGTGAGACACAGTTAGACAGAGACACAGAGAGTGTGTGTCTACTAGTAGCTACACAATGTGAGACACACAGTGAGACAGAGACACACACAGTGAGACACAGACACACAGAGAGTGTGTGTCTAGTAGGAGCTACACTCAGTGAGACACACAGACACACAGTTAGACACAGAGAGTGTGTGTCTAGTAGTAGCTAGACAGTGAGACACAGAGACACACAGTGAGACACACACAGTGAGACACAGAGAGTGTGTGTCTAGTAGGAGCTAGACACACACACAGTGAGACAGAGAGACACACAGTTAGACAGTGAGACACACACAGAGACACAGTGACACACAGAGAGAGTGTGTGTCTAGTAGTAGCTACACAGAGACACAGAGAGACACAGAGAGTGTGTGTCTAGTAGGAGCTAGACAGAGACAGAGAGACACACAGAGAGACACACAGTGAGACACAGTGAGACAGAGAGTGTGTGTCTAGTAGTAGCTAGACAGAGAGACACAGAGACACACAGTTAGACAGAGAGATACAGTGAGACACAGACAGTGAGACACACACAGTGAGACAGAGAGTGTGTGTCTAGTAGGAGCTACACAGAGAGAGACACACAGACACAGTGAGACACACAGTGAGACACAGAGAGAGACACAGTGAGACACAGACACACACAGAGAGTGTGTCTAGTAGTAGCTACACACAGAGAGAGACACAGACACACACAGTTAGACACACACAGAGAGTGTGTGTCTAGTAGGAGCTACACAGAGACACACACAGTGAGACACACACAGTGAGACACACAGAGACAGTGAGACACACAGAGAGTGTGTGTCTAGTAGTAGCTAGACACAGAGAGACACAGAGACACACAGTGAGACACACACAGAGAGTGTGTGTCTAGTAGTAGCTAGACAGAGAGACACACACAGTGAGACAGTGACACAGAGAGTGCATGTCTAGTAGTAGCTACACACAGAGACACACAGAGAGACACACACAGTGAGACACACACAGAGAGTGTGTGTCTAGTAGTAGCTACACAGAGAGTGAGACAGAGACACAGTGAGACACACAGTGAGACACACAGTGAGACACACAGTGAGACACAGAGTGTGTGTCTAGTAGTAGCTAGACAGAAGACACACACAGTGAGACAGAGAGTGTGTGTCTAGTAGTAGCTACACTCAGTGAGACAGAGACACAGAGAGTGTGTGTCTAGTAGTAGCTAGACAGAGACACACACAGTGAGACAGAGAGTGTGTGTCTAGTAGTAGCTACACTCAGTGAGACAGAGACACAGAGAGTGTGTGTCTAGTAGTAGCTAGAGACAGAGACACACACAGTGAGACAGAGAGTGTGTGTCTAGTAGTAGCTACACTCAGTGAGACAGAGACACAGAGAGTGTGTGTCTAGTAGTAGCTAGAGACAGAGACACACACAGTGAGACAGAGAGTGTGTGTCTAGTAGTAGCTACACTCAGTGAGACAGAGACACAGAGAGTGTGTGTCTAGTAGTAGCTAGAGACAGAGACACACAGTGAGACAGAGAGTGTGTGTCTAGTAGTAGCTACACACAGAGACACACAGAGAGACACACACAGTGAGACACACACAGAGAGTGTGTGTCTAGTAGTAGCTAGAGACAGAGACACACAGTGAGACACACACAGAGAGTGGTATCAGTAGTGGTGGTGGAGGTGGCAGTAGTGGTGGAGGTGGTGGTGGCGGTAGAGGTGGAGGTGGTGGTGGTGGCAGAGGTGGTGGAGGTGGTGGTGGAGGTGGTGGTGGTGGAGGTGGTGGAGGTGGTGGTGGAGGTGGTGGTGGAGGTGGTGGAGGTGGTGGTGGAGGTGGTGGTGATGGTGGTGGTGGTGGAGGTGATGGTGGTGGTGGTGGTGGTGGAGGTGGTGGAGGTGGTGGTGGAGGTGGTGGTGATGGTGGTGGTGGAGGTGGTGGTGGAGGTGGTGGTGGAGGTGGTGGTGGAGGTGGTGGAGGTGGTGGTGGAGGTGGTGGTGATGGTGGTGGTGGAGGTGGTGGTGGAGGTGGTGGTGGAGGTGGTGGTGGAGGTGGTGGAGGTGGTGGTGGAGGTGGTGGTGATGGTGGTGGTGGAGGTGGTGATGGTGGTGGTGGAGGTGGTGGTGGAGGTGGTGGAGGTGGTGGTGGAGGTGGTGGTGGAGGTGGTGGTGGAGGTGGTGGTGGAGGTGGTGATGGTGGTGGTGGAGGTGGAGGTGCTGGTGGAGGTGGTGGTGGAGGTGGTGGAGGTGGTGGTGGAGGTGGTGGTGGAGGTGGTGGTGGAGGTGGTGATGGTGGTGGTGGAGGTGCTGGTGGAGGTGGTGGTGGAGGTGGTGGTGGAGGTGGTGGTGATGGTGATGGTGGTGGTGATGGTGGAGGTGGTGGTGATGGTGATGGTGGTGGTGATGGTGGAGGTGGTGGTGGAGGTGGCTGTAGTGATGGTGGAGGTGGTGGAGGTGGTGGTTGAGAGTGTAGCCACAGTGCCGACATTCTGTGGCACTGCTACTCGCTACTAACGGCACTTGCCCCAACAGTCTGCAGTGGCTACACGGGGGATCTTTGTGTGTACTTGTGTGTGTACCTACCTGTGTGTGTGTACCTGTGTGTGTACCTGTGTGTATGTGTGTACCTACCTGTGTGTGTGTACCTGTGTGTGTGTGTTACTGTGTGTGTGTTACTGTGTGTTACTGTTTGGTCCGGCAAAACAACCCCCTACCTCCTCGCGGTGCCGGACGGGCAACTCTGTCGTGGACAGTGCTGTGGGGGGAGTTCCAATTTTGATTGGCTCCTCCCCTCATGGCATATGTGTCCACCACAGGGGCTAAACGGGGGCTCTGGACGGGTGCGAGGGGCTGGTAACCCCTCCACCTTCAATTAATTACCACAAAACCACGAATTAAAGTGAAATATGTAACAACTAAGCTTGTGCCGGAGGCCCCGGGGGGCCAGGCGTCTATGACGTCTCCTGGCCAAACCCCAATTGGCGGAGCCAGGAGATTGAATACCTACCCTCGGGGCTACTCCAGAAACAACGAAAAGCCACTACGGGTGGCCACGTGGAATGTTCGAACGCTCACTGCAGAGGAGAGGCTGCCACTCCTCTGTCGGGAGCTGGACCGGTACCGCCTGGATCTATGCGGCATTCAGGAGGTCCGGTGGACCGGCTCTGGCTCCTGCCACCATGAGGGGTGGACAGTCCTCTACTCGGGGCAGCAGACTGCCAAACAACAGGGTGTGGGTCTTCTTTTGAATAAAAGAATGAAGGGGGCGTGGGAGCGTGGCGGTGAGGTGTGGGAAGCTGTAAGCCCCAGGCTACTTTGGGCTCGCCTTCCCATCAACCGGAGGCGAGGAATGGTGGTCGTGGTTACTTATGCCCCCACCGAAGATGAACATCCGTGGAGGGATGCAGGCAAAGCCGATGAGTCAGATGCCTTCTATGACCTCCTGTCACAGGTGCTGGCTAAAGTGGCCCCTCGGGATAGAGTCATCATGTTGGGTGACTTCAATGCCCGAGTTGGTCATGATACTGGCACCTGGTCTGGAGTGATTGGAGGGCATGGGCCAGATCAGCTCAATAACAACGGTAGGAGGCTGCTAGATTTTTGTGCAGCCCATGGGCTTGTAATTACCAACACGCTGTTCCGGCATCGGCGCATCCACACAACATCATGGATGCATGCCGGGTCCAAGCAAGAACATCTGCTGGACTACATAGTGACGGACCAGCGAATGCGAGCCCATGTCCTTGACACCAGGACCTACCGTGGAGCTGATCTGCCCTCTGACCATCGACTAGTCATCTGTAAGATGCGCCTGCCATTCTTCCACTCCGGTGGTGGGTGTACACCCAGGACCCCATTCCAACCTAAAGTGGCCTGGTCTCAGTTATCTGATGAAAGTTGCAAGCGAGAATTTCATCATCGCTTGCGGCTGGGATTGGCATCGTCCCCGACTCCTCCTGATGTCGAGGGTAAATGGGCGAGGTTTAGGACTGTGACTCATGCAGCTGCAATGGCTGCTTTGGGTACGCGGTCCAGACCTCCCCAGACACCCTGGATGACAGAGGAGTTGTTCAGGATGGTTGAGAAAAAGCGACAGGCCCACTGTCATCGGCTACAGAATCCCACGTCAGAGAATGAGGAGGCTTACCGCAGCCTTCGCTCGGAGGTTCGGAGAGCCGTGAGGCGCTGCAAGGATGGGTGGTGGTCGCGGGTTGCTGAGGAGATGGAGTCTGCCTCAGTGGCCCGTGATCACAAATCGCTATTTAACTCCATCAAAAAAGTAACCTGCAGCGCCACACCTATTACCATCATTAGGGGAAAAAACGGTGATCCAATTTCCGACCCCCAGGAACAGGTTCGCAGATTTGCTGAGCATTTCTGTGAGGTCCTGGGGGAGGGAAAATCCCACAGCCAGGAAAACATCGTGGCACAAAGTGAGGATGACCCTGCTGAGGCTGCGGTGCCTCAAATATTGGATGAAGTCACCCCCTGTGAGTGGCTGGCTGAGGTGCCATCTGCTGAGGAAGTATTGAAGGCGATCCGGAGTCTGAGACCAGGAAAGGCAGCGGGCAGAGATGATCTCCCAAGCGAAATGCTGAGGGAGGGTGGCGTTTGTGCACAGACTGCCCTATATGACATCATAACAACAGTCTGGACCACTGGACGGGTTCCGCAGGATTGGAAGGATGCCCTGGTGGTCCCCCTTTTTAAGAAGGGGGACCGCACAGACTGTAACAACTACAGGGGCATCTCACTCCTCAGTGTGCCGGGAAAGGTCCTGGCAAGGATTATTCAGCATCGCCTTGCCAGGCACGCTGAGGAGAGGCTTGCGGAGCCCCAATGCGGTTTCAGGAAAGGGCGGTCCTGCACAGATGCCATATTTTCTGTCCGTCTGCTACAGCAGAGGTGTAGGGAATTCCAACAAGACCTACATCTCTGCTTTATTGACCTGGTCAAGGCCTATGATACCATCAGTAGGCCTGGGCTCTGGGTCGTTCTTCGTGCTTTTGGAGTACCTGACCCTCTGCTCACGATCATTAAGGACCTTCATGATGGTGAGCGGGCCAGGGTAAAACTACGTGGCCGGGAGTCAGAGCCATTCCCTGTACACCTTGGGGTGCGACAGGGATGTCCTCTGGCTCCCACATTATTTAACATCTATTTTGACCACGTAGTTCGTGAAGCCTTCAATAGCTGTACCGGGGGAATCTCCATATGGTACAGATATAATGGGAGGCTAATCGATGCCCGGGTGCGGTCAAGGGATGGCTCCCTATTGCTCAACCACGTTATGTATGCTGATGACTTGGTAATAGCTGCTCAGTCAGAGGAGGAGTTGGAGACGCTGCTGCTGAGACTGGAGCGTGCCACTAAGAGGTGGGGCCTTACCATCAGCCCCACCAAAACTAAGCACCTGCCTGGGTATTTTGTACCATCGGACACTCCACCCCCACAACTCCCAATCGGTGATGGGGCAGTTGTGGAGAGAGTGGAGAGTTTCCCATACCTGGGCAGTGTGCTTATGACTGGCTCCAGTTTAACAGCAGAGGTCTCACTCCGAATCAGTCGAGCGGCAATATCTTTTCATCGGTTGCGTAACGCTGTGTGGAAGCTACCTGGTCTATCGCTCCGCACTAAGCTTCAGGTCTTCTCGGCCACGGTCATTCCCTCCCTTCTCTACGCTTGCGAAACGTGGACCCCCCTAATGGAACATCTTCGCCGGTTAGAAACATTTAGGCTGACCTGCCTACGATCCATCCTGGGTTTAACCAGACTGGATTGTGTGAGGAGCTCACAAATCCTTGAAAGATCTGGGCAGGGTCCCATCGGTGAGCTCCTCCGGCAGGCAAGGCTGCGATGGCTGGGTCATGTAGCCCGCATGCCCAGCCACCGCATGCCGAAACAGCTTTTGTTTGGCCGGATTGAGGGGGCTAAGCGGGCGCGGCACGGGCTAGAGAAGAGATGGAGTGATGTGGTACAGGAGGACGTGGAGCTGAGTGGACTTGCCGATGACTGGTACCAGCGGTGTCAAGATCGGCCTCTGTGGAGGAGGCTCGTGAAGGATGCTACTGGGCAGTTGGAGGCAGTCGCCCTCCAACAACAACGGAGGGCGGAGGAGCGACGCTCACAACAGCGAGCGGAGCGCCGGGTGGCTAAAGCACAGCAGGTTGGCACAGTAGGGGGCACAGGTGGTGCATCAGCCAGTCATCTCAGTCAGTCGACCCGTGGCACCTGGGTCTGCCCCGTGACCTCCTGCCAGCGGGCGTTCGACACTTCACGTGGCCTCAGGGTGCACATAGCCTGGCACAAGCGTCGTGGTGACGTCACCGCCACTTAGTGGCGAATGGCGGTTGTTGTTGTTGTTACTGTTTGTGTGTGTTACTGTGTGTGTGTGTACCTGTGTGTGTGTGTTACTGTGTGTGTGTGTACCTGTGTGTGTGTTACTGTGTGTGTGTTACTGTGTATGTGTGTACCTGTGTGTGTGTACCTGTGTGTGTGTGTACCTGTGTGTGTGTGTGTACCTGTGTGTGTGTGTGTGTTACTGTGTGTGTGTGTTACTGTGTGTGTGTGTTACTGTGTGTGTGTGTACCTGTGTGGGTGTGTTACTGTGTGTGTGTGTGTACGTGTGTGTGTGTGTACCTGTGTGTGTGTGTACCTGTGTGTGTGTGTGTCTGTGTGTGTACCTGTGTGTGTGTGTGTCTGTGTGTGTGTGTGTACCTGTGTGTGTGTGTGTACCTGTGTGTGTGTGTGTGTGTACCTGTGTGTGTGTGTACCTGTGTGTGTGTGTATATGTGTGTGTGTTACTGTGTGTGTGTGTTACTGTGTGTGTGTGTATGTGTGTGTGTTACTGTGTGTTACTGTGTGTGTGTGTACGTGTGTGTGTGTACCTGTGTGTGTGTGTGTCTGTGTGTATGTGTGTGTACCTGTGTGTGTGTGTGTGTACCTGTGTGTGTGTTACTGTGTGTGTGTGTTACTGTGTGTGTGTACCTGTGTGTGTTACTGTTTGTGTGTGTTACTGTGTGTGTGTGTGTACCTGTGTGTGTGTACCTGTGTGTGTGTTACTGTGTGTGTGTGTGTGTACTGCACAGCCAACCTGCTCAGCTCCCACCATGCTGACGGGCTTGCACTTGAACAGCTGATTGATGAACTTGGGAATGAAGGCGCTGACACGTGCAGGAGAGAGAGAGAGAGGACAGAGAGAGACTCACACAGACACTCACTCACCACTCACTCATACACTCACTCACTCATACACTCACTCACACACACTCAATCAGTCACTCAGTCACTCATACACTCACTCACACAGTCACTCACACACACACTCAGTCACTCACTCACACACACAGTCACTCACTCACTCAGTCACTCACTCACTCACACAGACACTCACTCATACACTCACTCACACACACAGACACACACTCACACACTCACCACTCACCACTCACTCACCACTCACTCACCACTCACTCACACAGACACTCAGTCACACACTCACAGTCACTCACCACTCAGTCACTCACTCACTCACACAGACACTCACTCACCACTCAGTCACTCAGTCAGTCAGTCACTCAGTCACTCAATCAGTCACTCATTCACTCAATCAGTCAGTCAGTCACTCACTCACTCAGCAAGTCAGTCAGTCAATCAGTCACTCAGTCACACACTCAGTCACACACTCAGTCACTCACTCAGTCACTCAGTCAGTCACTCAGTCACTCACTCACTCATACACTCACTCATACACTCACTCACCACTCACTCACTCAGTCACTCACTCAGTCACTCACTCAGTCACTCACTCAGTCACTCAGTCACTCACTCAGTCACTCACTCAGTCACTCACTCAGTCACTCACCACTCAGTCACTCACCACTCAGTCACTCACTCAGTCACTCACTCAGTCAGTCACTCAGTCAGTCACTCAGTCAGTCACTCAGTCACTCACTCAGTCACTCACTCAGTCACTCAGTCACTCACTCAGTCACTCACTCACACACTCACTCACTCACCACTCAGTCACCCACTCAGTCACTCACTCACACAGACACTCACTCACCACTCACTCACTCACACACTCACTCACTCACCACTCAGTCACCCACTCAGTCACTCACTCACACAGACACTCACTCACCACTCACTCACTCATACACTCACTCACACAGACACTCACTCACTCAGTCACTCACTCACTCACACAGACACTCACACACTCACTCACTCAGTCACTCACACACTCAGTCACTCACTCAGTCACTCACTCAGTCACTCACCACTCAGTCACTCACTCAGTCACTCACTCAGTCAGTCACTCAGTCACTCACTCAGTCACTCAGTCACTCACTCAGTCACTCACTCAGTCATTCACTCATTCACTCAGTCACTCACTCAGTCACTCACTCAGTCACTCACTCAGTCACTCAGTCACTCACACACTCACTCACTCACTCAGTCACTCACACACTCACTCAGTCACTCACTCAGTCACTCACTCAGTCACTCAGTCAGTCACTCACTCAGTCACTCACTCAGTCACTCACCACTCAGTCACTCACTCAGTCACTCAGTCACTCACTCAGTCAGTCACTCAGTCACTCAGTCACTCACTCAGTCACTCACTCAGTCACTCAGTCACTCACACACTCACTCACTCACTCAGTCACTCACACACTCACTCAGTCACTCACTCAGTCACTCACCACTCAGTCACTCACCACTCAGTCACTCACTCAGTCACTCACTCAGTCAGTCACTCAGTCAGTCACTCAGTCACTCACTCAGTCAGTCACTCAGTCAGTCACTCAGTCACTCACTCAGTCACTCACTCAGTCACTCAGTCACTCAGTCACTCACTCAGTCACTCACTCACCACTCACTCACTCACACACTCACCACTCAGTCACCCACTCAGTCACTCACTCACACAGACACTCACTCACCACTCACTCACTCACACACACACTCACTCACTCACCACTCAGTCACCCACTCAGTCACTCACTCACACAGACACTCACTCACCACTCACTCACTCATACACTCACTCACACAGACACTCACTCACTCAGTCACTCACTCACTCACACAGACACTCACACACTCACTCACTCAGTCACTCACACACTCAGTCACTCACTCAGTCACTCACTCAGTCACTCACCACTCAGTCACTCACTCAGTCACTCACTCAGTCACTCAGTCACTCACTCAGTCACTCACTCACCACTCACTCACTCACACACTCACCACTCAGTCACCCACTCAGTCACTCACTCACACAGACACTCACTCACCACTCACTCACTCACACACTCACTCACTCACCACTCAGTCACTCACTCACACAGACACTCACTCACCACTCACTCACTCATACACTCACTCACACAGACACTCACTCACTCAGTCACTCACTCACTCACACAGACACTCACACACTCACTCACTCAGTCACTCACACACTCAGTCACTCACTCAGTCACTCACTCAGTCACTCACCACTCAGTCACTCACTCAGTCACTCACTCAGTCACTCAGTCACTCACTCAGTCACTCACTCAGTCATTCACTCAGTCACTCAGTCACTCACTCAGTCACTCACTCAGTCACTCACTCAGTCACTCAGTCACTCACACACTCACTCACTCACTCAGTCACTCACACACTCACTCAGTCACTCACTCAGTCACTCACTCAGTCACTCAGTCAGTCACTCACTCAGTCACTCACTCAGTCACTCACCACTCAGTCACTCACCACTCAGTCACTCACTCAGTCACTCAGTCACTCACTCAGTCAGTCACTCAGTCACTCAGTCACTCACTCAGTCACTCACTCAGTCACTCAGTCACTCACACACTCACTCACTCAGTCACTCACACACTCACTCAGTCACTCACTCAGTCACTCACTCAGTCACTCAGTCAGTCACTCACTCAGTCACTCACTCAGTCACTCACCACTCAGTCACTCACTCAGTCACTCACTCACTCAGTCAGTCACTCAGTCAGTCACTCAGTCAGTCACTCAGTCAGTCACTCAGTCACTCACTCAGTCACTCAGTCACTCACTCACTCAGTCACTCACTCAGTCACTCACTCAGTCAGTCACTCAGTCAGTCACTCAGTCACTCAATCAATCACTCAATCAGTCACTCAATCAGTCACTCACTCACTCACTCAGACACTCACTCAGTCACTCACTCAGTCACTCACTCACTCACACAGACACTCACTCAGTCACTCACTCACTCAGTCACTCACCACTCACACTCACACAGACACTCACTCAGTCACTCACTCAGTCACTCACTCAGTCACTCACTCAGTCACTCACGCACTCACTCAGTCACTCACTCACACACTCACTCACTCAGTCACTCACTCACACAGTCACTCACTCACTCAGTCACTCACTCACACACTCACTCACTCAGTCACTCACTCACACACTCACACACTCACTCAGTCACTCACTCAGTCACTCAGTCACTCACTCACTCAGTCACTCACTCACTCAGTCAGTCACTCACTCAGTCACTCAGTCACTCACTCAGTCACTCACACACTCACTCAGTCACTCAGTCACTCACTCACTCACACTCACTCAGTCACTCACTCAGTCACTCACACACTCACTCAGTCACTCACTCAGTCACTCAGTCACTCACACACTCACTCAGTCAGACACTCAGTCACTCAGTCACTCAGACACTCAGTCAGTCACTCAGTCACTCACTCAGTCACTCAGTCACTCACTCACCACTCACTCACCACTCAGTCACTCACTCACTCAGTCACTCACTCACTCAGTCACTCACTCACCACTCACTCACACAGACACTCAGTCACACACTCACACACTCACTCACTCACCACTCACTCACACAGACACTCAGTCACATACTCACACACTCACTCACTCACCACTCACTCACTCAGTCACACACTCACTCACTCAGTCACTCACTCAGTCACTCAGTCACACACTCACTCATTCAGTCACTCAGTCACTCACACACTCACTCACCACTCACTCACCACTCACTCACACAGACACTCAGTCACACACTCACCACTCACTCACCACTCACTCACCACTCACTCACACAGACACTCAGTCACACACTCACACACTCACCACTCACTCACTCAGTCACTCACTCAGTCACTCACACACTCACTCACTCACACACTCACTCACCACTCACTCACTCACACACTCACTCACTCACTCAGTCACTCACACACTCACTCAGTCACTCAGTCACACACTCACTCACTCAGTCACTCAGTCACTCACACACTCACTCACTCAGTCACTCACTCACACACTCACTCACACAGACAGACACTCACCCACTCACTCACCCACCCACTCACTCACTCAGTCACTCAGTCACTCACACACTCACTCACTCAGTCACTCACTCAGTCACTCACTCAGTCACTCACTCACCCACTCACTCACACACACACTCACTCAGTCACTCACTCACACACTCACACAGTCACTCACTCACTCACACACTCAGTCACTCACTCACCCACTCACTCACACACACTCACTCAGTCACTCACTCACACACTCACACAGTCACACACTCACTCAGTCACTCACTCACTCAGTCACTCACTCACTCAGTCACTCACTCACTCACCCACTCACTCACACACACACTCACTCACTCAGTCACTCACTCACTCAGTCAGTCACTCACTCACACACTCACTCAGTCAGTCAGTCACTCAATCACTCACACACTCACTCACACACTCACACACTCAGTCACTCACACACACACTCACTCACACACACTCACTCACCACTCACTCACCCTCTCACTCACTCACTCACCCACTCACCCACTCACCCACCCACTCACTCATACACACACTCACACAATCAGTCACTCACTCACTCACACACTCACTCACCACTCATCCACTCACTCAGTCACTCACTCACTCACCACTCACTCACTCACTCAGTCACTCACTCACACACTCACTCACTCACACACTCACTCACTCACACACTCACTCAATCAGTCACTCACTCACTCACACACTCACTCACCACTCACCCACTCAGTCACTCACTCACTCACCACTCACTCACTCAGTCAATCACTCATACACTCACTCACTCACACACTCACTCACTCACACACTCACTCACTCACACACTCACTCACTCAGTCACTCACTCACTCACACACTCACTCACTCAGTCACTCACTCACTCACACACTCACTCACTCAGTCACTCACTCACTCACACACTCACTCACACACTCACTCACTCAGTCACTCACACACACAGACACACACTCACTCACTCACCCACTCACTCACCCACCCACTCACTCACCCACTCACTCACTCACCCACCCACTCACTCACCAAGTCACTCACTCACTAAGTCACTCACTCACTCAGTCACTCACTCACTCACACACTCACTCACTCACTCACACACTCACTCACTCACCCACTCACCCACTCACTCACCCACTCACCCACTCACACACTCAGTCACTCACTCACTCAGTCACTCACTCAGTCACTCACTCACCACTCACACAGACACTCAGTCACACACTCACTCACCCACTCACTCACTCAGTCACTCACTCACTCACACACTCACTCACTCACACACTCACTCACTCACCACTCACACACACACTCATACACACACTCACTCACACACTCTCACCACTCACCCACTCACTCACACACCCACTCACTCACACACCCACTCACTCACTCAGTCACTCACTCACACACACACCCACCCACTCACCCACCCACCCACTCACTCACCCACCCACTCACTCACCCACCCACTCACTCACACACCCACTCACTCATTCAGTCACTCACTCACACACTCACTCACTCAGTCACCCACCCACCCACTCACCCACCCACTCACTCACCCACTCACTCACTCACCCACCCACTCACTCACTCACCCACCCACCCACCCACTCACCCACCCACCCACTCACCCACCCACCCACTCACCCACCCACCTTGCGAACTTGAGACAGAACTGAGTGAAGTATTTACGAGTGCACGCCAGGCAATGGCGGACCACAGGCACGTTACTCTTCACGTGACCCACCCACCCACTCATCCACCCACCCACTCACTCACCCACTCACCCACCCACTCACTCACACACTCACTCACCCACTCATCCTTTCACTCACCCACTCACTCACCCACACACTCATCCATTCACTCATCCAAACACTCACTCACCCACCCACTCACTCACACACTCACTCACCCACTCACTCACCCACCCACTCACCCACCCACTCACACACCCACCCACCCACTCACACACCCACCCACTCACTCACCCACCCACCCACTCACTCACCCACTCACCCACTCACTCACCCACTCACCCACTCACTCACTCACTCACCCACTCACCCACCCACCCACCCACTCACCCACCCACCCACTCACCCACACACCCACCCACCCACTCACTCACTCAGTCAGTCACTCACTCACCCACCCACCCACTCACCCACCCACCCACTCACCCACCCACTCACCCACTCACTCACTCACCCACTCACCCACCCACCCACCCACTCACCCACCCACTCACTCACCCACTCACTCAGTCAGTCACTCACTCACCCACCCACCCACTCACCCCCCCACCCACCCCCCCACCCACCCACTCACTCACCCACCCACCCACTCACCCACCCACCCACTCACCCACCCACCCACTCACTCACCCACCCACCCACTCACCCACCCACTCACCCACCCACCCACCTTGCGAACTTGAGACAGAACTGAGTGAAGTATTTACGAGTGCACGCCAGACAATGGCGGACCACAGGCACGTTACTCTTCACGTGACCCACAACGGAAGTGACGTAGGCACTCTGATCGCCCACGTGCTCAACATTCTGCCAGGGCATCTGAGGGCAGGGGAGGGGGTGGGTGAGTGGGGGGGTGAGGGAGTGAGTGGGTGAGTGTGTGGTTGAGTGAGTGAGTGGGTGAGTGAGTGAGTGGGTGAGTGAGTGGTTGAGTGAGTGAGTGGGTGAGTGGGTGGGTGAGTGGGTGAGTGAGGGGGTGGGTGAGTGGGTGAGGGGGTGAGGGGGTGAGTGAGGGGGTGGGTGAGTGAGTGAGTGGGTGAGTGGGTGGGTGAGTGAGTGAGTGGGTGAGTGAGGGGGTGGGTGAGTGAGTGGGTTAGTGGGTGGGTGGGTTAGTGGGTGGGTGGGTGGGTGAGTTAGTGAGTGGGTGGGTGAGTGGGTGGGTGGGTTAGTGAGTGAGTGAGTGGGCTAGTGGGTGGGTGAGTGAGTGGGTGGGTGAGTGAGTGAGTGAGTGGGTGAGTAGGTGGGTGGGTGAGTGAGTGGGTGAGTGGGTGAGTGGGTGAGTGAGTGGGTGGGTGGGTGAGTGGGTGAGTGAGTGGGTGGGTGGGTGAGTGAGTGGTTGAGTGAGTGAGTGGGTGAGTGGGTGGGTGAGTGAGTGAGTGAGGGAGTGGGTGAGGCGGTGAGGGGGTGAGTGAGTGGGTGAGTGAGGGGGTGGGTGAGTGAGTGGGTGGGTGGGTGAGTGGGTGAGTGAGTGGGTGGGTGGGTGAGTGAGTGGTTGAGTGAGTGAGTGGGTGAGTGGGTGGGTGAGTGAGTGAGTGTGGGAGTGGGTGAGGCGGTGAGGGGGTGAGTGAGTGGGTGAGTGAGGGGGTGGGTGAGTGAGTGAGTGAGTGGGTGAGTGGGTGGGTGTGTGGGTGAGTGGGTGAGTGGGTGGGTGAGTGGGTGAGTGGGTGGGTGGGTGAGTGGGTGAGTGGGTGGGTGGGTGGGTGAGTGAGTGAGTGAGTGGGTGAGCGAGTGGGTGGGTGGGTGAGTGAGTGAGTGGGTGAGTGAGTGGGTGAGTGAGTGGGGGGGTGGGAGGGTGAGTGAGTGGGTGAGTGAGTGGGTGAGTGAGTGGGTGGGTGGGTGAGTGAGTGGGTGAGTGAGTGAGTGGGTGAGTGAGTGGGTGAGTGGGTGAGTGAGTGGGTGGGTGGGTGAGTGAGTGGGTGGGTGAGTGAGTGAGTGGGTGGGTGAGTGAGTGCGTGGGTGAGTGAGTGAGTGGGTGAGGGGGTGGGTGAGTGGGTGAGTGAGTGGGTGAGGGAGTGAGTGGGTGGGTGAGTGAGTGAGTGGGTGAGTGGGTGAGGGGGTGGGTGAGTGGGTGGGTGAGTGGGTGGGTGGGTGGGTGAGGGGGTGAGTGAGTGGGTGGGTGGGTGGGTGAGGGGGTGGGTGAGTGAGTGAGTGAGGGGGTGAGTGGGTGAGTGAGTGGGTGTGTGAGTGGGTGGGTGAGAAGGTGGGTGGGTGAGTGAGTGAGTGGGTGGGTGGGTGAGTTAGTGAGTGGGTGGGTGAGTTAGTGAGTGGGTGGGTGAGTGGGGGGGTGAGTGAGTGGGTGGGTGGGTGGGTGGGTTAGTGGGTGGGTGGGTTAGTGGGTGGGTGGGTGAGTTAGTGAGTGGGTGGGTGAGTAGGTGGGTGGGTTAGTGGGTGAGTGAGTGGGCTAGTGGGTGGGTGAGTGAGTGGGTGGGTGGGTGAGTGAGTGAGTGGGTGAGTAGGTGGGTGGGTGAGTGAGTGGGTGAGTGGGTGAGTGGGTGAGTGAGTGGGTGGGTGAGTGGGTGAGTGGGTGAGTGAGTGGGTGGGTGAGTGAGTGGTTGAGTGAGTGAGTGAGTGGGTGGGTGAGTGAGTGAGTGAGGGAGTGGGTGAGGCGGTGAGGGGGTGAGTGAGTGGGTGAGTGAGGGGGTGGGTGAGTGAGTGAGTGAGTGGGTGAGTGGGTGGGTGTGTGGGTGAGTGGGTGAGTGGGTGAGTGAGTGGGTGAGTGGGTGGGTGGGTGGGTGAGTGAGTCAGTGAGTGAGTGAGCGAGTGGGTGGGTGGGTGGGTGAGTGAGTGAGTGGGTGAGTGAGTGGGTGAGTGAGTGGGGGGGTGGGAGGGTGAGTGAGTGGGTGAGTGAGTGGGTGGGTGGGTGGGTGAGTGAGTGGGTGGGTGAGTGAGTGAGTGGGTGGGTGAGTGAGTGAGTGGGTGAGGGGGTGAGGGGGTGGGTGAGTGGGTGAGTGAGTGGGTGGGTGGGTGGGTGAGGGGGTGAGTGAGTGGGTGGGTGGGTGCGTGAGGGGGTGGGTGAGTGAGTGAGTGAGGGGGTGAGTGGGTGAGTGAGTGGGTGTGTGGGTGAGTGAGTGAGTGAGTGGGTGGCTGAGTAGGTGAGTGAGTGGGTGGGTGAGTTAGTGAGTGGGTGGGTGAGTGGGTGGGTGAGTGAGTGGGTGGGTGGGTGGGTTAGTGGGTGGGTGGGTTAGTGGGTGGGTGAGTTAGTGAGTGGGTGGGTGAGTAGGTGGGTGGGTTAGTGGGTGAGTGAGTGGGCTAGTGGGTGGGTGAGTGAGTGGGTGGGTGGGTGAGTGAGTGAGTGGGTGAGTAGGTGGGTGGGTGAGTGAGTGGGTGAGTGGGTGAGTGGATGAGTGAATGGGTGGGTGAGTGGGTGAGTGGGTGAGTGAGTGGGTGGGTGGGTGAGTGAATGGTTGAGTGAGTGAGTGGGTGAGTGGGTGGGTGAGTGAGTGAGTGAGGGAGTGGGTGAGGCAGTGAGGGGGTGAGTGAGTGGGTGAGTGAGGGGGTGGGTGAGTGATTGAGTGAGTGGGTGAGGGGGTGGGTGTGTGGGTGAGTGGGTGAGTGGGTGGGTGAGTGGGTGAGTGGGTGGGTGGGTGGGTGGGTGAGTGAGTGAGTGAGTGGGTGAGCGAGTGGGTGGGTGAGTGGGTGAGTGGGTGAGTGAGTGGGTGGGTGGGAGGGTGAGTGAGTGGGTGAGTGAGTGGGTGAGTGAGTGGGGGGGTGGGAGGGTGAGTGAGTGGGTGAGTGAGTGGGTGAGTGAGTGGGGGGGTGGGAGGGTGAGTGAGTGGGTGAGTGAGTGGGTGAGTGAGTGGGTGGGTGGGTGAGTGAGTGGGTGGGTGAGTGAGTGAGTGGGTGAGTGAGTGGGTGAGTGGGTGAGTGAGTGAGTGGGTGGGTGGGTGAGTGAGTGGGTGGGTGAGTGAGTGAGTGGGTGAGTGGGTGGGTGAGGGAGTGAGTGGGTGGGTGGGTGGGTGGGTGAGGGGGTAAGTGGGTGGGTGAGTGGGTGGGTGTGTGGGTGAGTGGGTGAGTGGGTGGGTGGGTGGGTGAGGGGGTGGGTGTGTGGGTGAGTGGGTGAGTGGGTGGGTGGGTGGGTGAGGGGGTGGGTGAGTGAGTGAGGGGGTGGGTGAGTGGGTGGGTGGGTGAGTGAGTGGGTGGGTGGGTGAGTGAGTGGGTGAGTGGGTGAGTGAGGGGGTGGGTGGGTGGGTGAGTGAGTGGGTGAGTGGGTGAGTGGGTGGGTGGGTGGGTGAGTGAGTCAGTGAGTGGGTGAGCGAGTGGGTGGGTGGGTGGGTGAGTGAGTGAGTGGGTGAGTGAGTGGGTGAGTGAGTGGGGGGGTGGGAGTGTGAGTGAGTGGGTGAGTGAGTGGGTGGGTGGGTGAGTGAGTGAGTGGGTGAGTGAGTGAGTGAGTGGGTGAGTGGGTGAGTGAGTGGGTGGGTGGGTGGGTGAGTGAGTGGGTGGGTGAGTGGGTGAGGGGGTGGGTGAGGGAGTGAGTGGGTGGGTGAGTGAGTGAGTGGGTGAGTGGGTGAGGGGGTGGGTGAGTGGGTGAGTGAGTGGGTGGGTGGGTGAGTGAGTGGGTGGGTGGGTGGGTGAGGGGGTGAGTGAGTGGGTGGGTGGGTGGGTGAGGGGGTGGGTGAGTGAGTGAGTGAGGGGGTGAGTGGGTGGGTGTGTGGGTGAGTGAGTGATTGAGTGGGTGGGTGAGTAGGTGAGTGAGTGGGTGGGTGAGTTAGTGAGTGGGTGGGTGAGTGGGTGGGTGAGTGAGTGAGTGGGTGGGTGGGTGGGTTAGTGGGTGGGTGAGTTAGTGGGTGGGTGAGTTAGTGAGTGGGTGGGTGAGTAGGTGGGTGGGTTAGTGGGTGAGTGAGTGGGCTAGTGGGTGGGTGAGTGAGTGGGTGGGTGGGTGAGTGAGTGAGTGGGTGAGTAGGTGGGTGGGTGAGTGAGTGGGTGAGTGGGTGAGTGGATGAGTGAGTGGGTGGGTGAGTGGGTGAGTGGGTGAGTGAGTGGGTGGGTGGGTGAGTGAGTGGTTGAGTGAGTGAGTGGGTGAGTGGGTGGGTGAGTGAGTGAGTGAGGGAGTGGGTGAGGCGGTGAGGGGGTGAGTGAGTGGGTGAGTGAGGGGGTGGGTGAGTGAGTGAGTGAGTGGGTGAGTGGGTGGGTGTGTGGGTGAGTGGGTGAGTGGGTGGGTGAGTGGGTGGGTGAGCGAGTGGGTGGGTGGGTGGGTGAGTGGGTGAGTGGGTGGGTGAGTGAGTGAGTGAGTGGGTGAGCGAGTGGGTGGGTGGGTGGGTGAGTGAGTGGGTGAGTGAGTGGGTGAGTGAGTGGGGGGGTGGGAGGGTGAGTGAGTGGGTGAGTGAGTGGGTGAGTGAGTGGGTGGGTGGGTGAGTGAGTGGGTGGGTGGGTGAGTGAGTGGGTGGGTGAGTGAGTGAGTGGGTGGGTGAGTGAGTGAGTGGGTGAGGGGGTGGGTGAGGGAGTGAGTGGGTGGGTGAGGGAGTGAGTGGGTGGGTGAGTGGGTGAGGGGGTGGGTGAGTGGGTGAGTGAGTGGGTGGGTGGGTGGGTGAGTGGGTGAGTGAGTGGGTGGGTGGGTGGGTGAGGGGGTGAGTGAGTGGGTGGGTGAGGGGGTGGGTGGGTGGGTGAGTGAGGGGGTGGGTGAGTGAGTGTGTGGGTGAGTGAGGGGGTAAGTGGGTGGGTGGGTGAGTGGGTGGGTGAGTGGGTGAGTGAGTGGGTGAGTGAGTGAGGGGGTGGGTGAGTGGGTGAGTGGGTGAGTGAGTGGGTGGGTGGGTGGGTGAGTGAGTGGGTGAGTGGGTGAGGGGGTGGGTGAGTGGGTGAGTGGGTGAATGAGTGGGTGGGTGGGT